AAAAAGTGTCTGATCAGTATAGATAAGTAAAGTACCCCAGCTCAGGTTACTGAATGAAGTACTTAAAACAACAAATTATTTGCTAATTCTCTTAAATATTACACACTTCAGAGCTAGCAAGATTTGATGCTCTCTCATCAGCTCTCTTATAAAGAAGATATGACAAAATACTACTGATTTAATGTAAGTAGCTTATGATATGGGTATCATTTTTACCACAATACTCTGACTAAATATAATAATGTGGTGAAGGTTTCCAAAATGCTCAGACCCCTCTGCTTAAACATATCTCAAAAGGTATAATATGTAGATGAGTTATTATATAAATCAGGCATGAAGGCAATAATGTGCTCCTCTTCCTGAATTAACCACAGTATTTTTAAATAACTAGTTACTGAGCATTCTTCTTAGCATAGGAATATTGGTTTAGAATTGATAAAAAGTAACAGATATCAAGACAGTAGCTCACCTATCAGTCCTGGAACCTGTTTGCCTTTGAAACTAAAGCAAGCAGTGATATTCAGACAATTCACTTGTTGTAAGCCATCATGACACTGAGGAGCTGTGATGTCAATGGATGCTGGCAGGAAAATTGAAATATCCAATGTAATGACAGGTCGTGATCTTAAAACAGTAAGAAAAAAAGAAACACTGCATTATTTTTCATATTATCATAGATCTTTTTAAGTTTAGGGGAAAGTAGCTCCTATTTAATTAACTTAAGAGAACTCTTAAACTTGCTTAGGATATCACCTTTAATACTAGTCCTGGAAATAATAAGTTATTCCCCAAATATTCCAACCCCAAAGGAAATACTTTTCCTATAATAATCAAAAGTGGAGGAGGAGGAGGGAAGGGTAGGACAGGACTTTGGATACACTAGTACCATTAAGATGCATTACTGGAATAAGAAAAATTCAAATAAAGTAATAAGCTTTTCTATTAGATATTTAATAATTATAGGTAAAAAGTAAAGGTAAATGAGTCCTTCTGGATTTTACTCCATTAGTCGTTGCTGACTATAGATGGTGGGGTTCATCACCATTTCAAGACCATTGAACCAGCGCTGTCCAAAGACATTTCTGGATCATGTGACCAGCATGATATCCTGGAACATTATCTTCCCACCAAACTGGTACCTATTTATCTACCCACATTTGCATGCAGGAGCTGGCGCAAGGACAGGAACTCACCCTGTCGCATGGTGCTTGGTTCTCAAACATGCACTGCTGGCCAACAAGCCCAGCATTTCAACTATTGACCCAGACTTCCCAGTAATTATAGGACAAATGAAAAAATACCCATACGGAAACATAGTTCATGCTAGCCAAATAAAAACTACCCTAGAAGCCCAAAGAATTAAATTATGCTAAAACATATGAAGAACAGTTACAGGCATTGTGTATGTATAGTGTAATGAAAATAAAGGGCTTGGAGTGTCATGCTAGCAGTATTCCAATATTTAACATCTACCACAAAGAAAAACAGGTGTTGAATCAACAGATATTGATTCTCCATTTTCACACCTGAAGGAAGAACAAAAAGCAATGGATGAAAACCAATCAAGAAGAGAACCAACCTAGAATTAAAGAAAAAAATCCTGACAGTAAGAATAATAAATCAGTGGAATGACTTGCTTCCAGAAGTTGTGGGTGCTCCAATACTCGAACTTTTTAAGAAGAGATTGGACAGCTATTTGTCTGAAATGTTATAGGATTTCCTCACTGAGCAGGGAGTTGGACTAGAATACCCTCAAGATTCCTTCCAACTCTGTTTTATTCTGTTAATTACATGCAATGGTTCTAAAAGTGATTAAGAGAGATCAGACAGATTCATCTGAAGGAATAAAACTATAATCCAGGACCAGAAAATCCAATCATATTCAAGCAATTGCTCTTCTCAAAACACATTTACTTTTTTTGAAATGAAATATTATCTCAATGTTTCACTATAATTTATTACTATGCCATATAGTAATAATACTAGTATTATTTTGAGAGAGAAATATGTTACTTTTTGCTAACTAGAAACTGTTATAGGTTTTTTCACTTCTGCTTTTCTGAGAATAAGATGGTTACATTCATATTAAATTCTTAAATTCAACAGTGATTCCTTTTTCCATATGGAGCCATTCAGTGAGTTTCACATTACAGATAGTCCTCAAGGTATGACAGATCAATTAATGACCATTTGAAGTTCAACAGATGCCCCAAAACTACATACAACCTTGTTTCAAAGTTACAAGAGTCCTCTCAGTCATTTGCCCTTGGGCAGCGCACCCCACCTCTCTCCCCCTCCCATCCCCCCTGTGCTTGGGCCTCTTCCCCATGCCTCCTGGCAGTCAGACAGACAAAAAAAAAGCTTTCCAAAGCTTTCCTAACTCGTTGCTCCCTTTAGAGTCCAATTCATTTAACATTTGTCATGTCTTCCAAATGTAATGGACAGACTCCATTGCAGTCGTAACTGACCTATCTGTAATCAGCTGCATAGTCACTACATACATAAAATCATGTACATAAATATGAGCATAAAATCACAAGTACCGTGATTTCTATAACTGGTAATAGATTAATCAATTGCTTGTTTAAAATTTATAGTATGCACTAAGAACTGTTGCCTGTGGTATGCCTTTTAAGGAAATATAACCAAAGATTTGCTTCATTCATTTCACTTAATTTGAAATGAAATGATTGTGAGAGAGCTGATATCGATTCCTATTTTTTTTTAAATGCAGGATTGGATCAGCATATTACATTGAAAAGATTTGGGAATGGGAACCACCTGAACAAGGGCAACAAAAGAAAAAAATACCAATGGCAAAATTGATATTTTTGCAACATTATTTTAAAGTTAATTACAAAAATTCTTCATCAACAATATAAACAGATTCAAAAAGAAACACAGTATAACAAGCTGGCACAGAGATATCCATCTAACCTATGACCCCAACTTCAGGACATATTGCTTGCTGTTCAGCAAATCAACACCTATTCTTGCATCCCAGTTTTGGGGTATTATCTCTTGCTGCCTCTCCTTTCCTTTCTCACGCTTCAGTCAATCTGCCCAAAATTTCACTCAACACTTTAAATGTCTATCCATCTGTAACAGGACACAGTTGTTTCCTGAATTATACATATTCGTCTCTCTTTCCATACCAAGTTAGGCTAGAATAGCAAAGCACACAAATTCACACACACACTTGTACAATCCCAATAGTAACATTTTATGAGACAAAATATTTATATTTTTGTAGCTTTCTATCTTGCCTTCAAACTTTTTTTTAAAAAACAGGGAGCTATATATAAGCTTGCAAACTGAAAGAATAAGAAACATGAGGCATTAGAATATAGGACAAAATGTGAGAGAATTACCAGTTTTTCAAGGTCATAATCAGGTGAGGAGTCATATATGAATATTATTCTCAAATTGTCAACTTTTTGCCTCCATGAAGCATATGCTTATATGAATATGATGGAACAGGATGAATTTATAAATTTGTTACCCCATTAAGCATTTTGCTTAAAGTAGTGAAGGCTGATGTGCTGATTTTAGTATTCATTCAGGGCACTATTATTTGTAAAATTGAGTAAAGAATTTTCATCACAATTGCTGATCAAAACAAAATTATGCTGATCTCATAATAAAGAGAGGGAATTCTTGATGATTCTCTTTAACTCCATCTTCTCTTTCTTCTCTTTCTAGAAATTACATGTCCACATAAAAGCAACACTATGGCCTAAAGACATTTAAAGAACATGTCAATATTGGTTTATTAGATAAATAAGATTTATTCGATATATATCCTTCCTTCCATTCAGGATATCTTGCCAATCGTACGTGACAGTCCTTTCTCTCCTCCCCCGACAGAAACAAATTCATAAATTGGGTTGGTCTGTGAGAGGCTGACCACTCCAATTATCCATTGAGCTTCCAGGCTGAGGGCAAACTTACATTTAGATTTCTTACTCCTGGTCCTCACTGATTCTCTAATATTTATGACTAAGCTGTATCACATTATGTCTTAATAAAGTTTTTTTTTTAAACTTTATATGAAGTATAATGTAAAATACACTATATTGCCAAAAGTATTCGCTCACCCATCCAAATAATCAGATTCAGTTGTGAGAGAATACTTTTGGCAATATAGTGTAATTACAAAAATGACACTAATTGATCTAGGTCAGTGATGGCGAACCTATGACACGCGTGTCAGTGCTGACACGCGTAGCCATTTGGGGTGACACGCACAGGATTTCATGTGATTCATCCTCGGCTCCTGCACGGCCGCCGAGGATGAAAGAATCTGTGCTGGAGGAACGGGGGAGGCGGGACGTGTGATCTCCCCCGCCCACACTCACTTACTGTATCGCCGCCGCCCCTTTCTGAGCGCAGGGGCTGCTGGTAAGGCGTGCGTGCCGTGCGCACACACGTCATCAGCGCGGCGAGGGAGGACCCGCAGGAGAGGAGGGCGGGAACAGTGCGCGCCTCTCTCCAGTCAGGCCAGCACAGAGAGTCTACTCCTGGTTAGTTAAAGAATTCGCCCTCCCCCTCACTTATCTCAGTTCATGGCAGGGCTGTGGAGTCTGCTGCTTCCAGCTCCACGTCCTCATCAACATGCCGCTCCGGCCCGCCCCCGCTATGAATATTCATATTCTTCGCCCTCGCGTCACTAGGAATATTCATAGCAGGGGCGGGCTGGAGCGGCATGTTGATGAGGACGTGGAGCTGGAAGCAGCCGACTCCACAGCCCTGGTTCACGGCACCCCAAACAAGTTCAATAATATCAAGAGCAACATACGAAATCGACTGATGAACAAAGAAGTTACTAAGCAGGTATGTTAAATAATTTGTTTTTGGTTTATTAAATACAATTATATATTGCAATTATACATTTTTGTAGTTTAAACTATAAATTGCGCAAAATTATGTTTTTGTCGAAGTGACACACAACGCGAGTTATGCTCGATTTTTTGCCGATTTTTGACATACCACGCCAAAAAGGTTGCCCATCACTGATCTAGGTAATGCATATTTAATGAGCAATTAAGAATTACAAATACCACATCATGCCGGTTTTACTATGTTAAACTTAACCTATTAAGCAAACTCTTTTCCCATTTACCTAATATCTACTTAAGCTTAACTCTCTTGGGATAGGGGATATCAAAAAACTGAGGCCTCATTTATTTTAGGGAAATACAAAGTCCACATCATGTAGAAATAAAACACTCATTTAAGAAAAGACCCAATCCACAGACTGTGATAGCTTGTACAGAACAAGTATAATGTTTTTGATTTATTCAATTGGTTCCCTTTATCCAGTTTTTGAATTTGCAGGATCATGTTTTAATTGATATTTATGCAGAAATATTAAATATTCAAACAAGATTGCAAACTTTTAAGCTCTATTATTTATATAAATATGACCAAATTTATGAAATTGCTTGCCATGGAAAAGTGTCAAAAATGAGAAACTGCATGTCTGAAATGTTTAAACAGATCAAGACATGACAATCAGTGGATGTTGGACATGCCCAGGGAAAAAATGTCACTTCATTTTTCCCCAGCATTATCAATCTACTTTAATTATTTTCTGGCCATGTAACTACAGCTGTTTCCTCTAATCAAGTGATGGTGAAAAGGTCACATGTGCACATGCACTCGTCAGGGTCACGCTCCTCAAAAGCCATGTGTGGATTCTAGCACACATGCACACTTGATGATTAACTGGCCAGCACGCATGCACAAGCCAATGTTTGGCACTGCGCATTGTTCAAAGGGATTGTGCTCTGGAAAAGCTGAATTTCTGGTTCTGATGCACATCCGCACCCAACAATCAGCTGTGTGGCACACATGTGCATACCGTATTCAGCACTGCCACATGTGTGAACAACAGCTGATCATTGTGTGAACATGCACGCCAGAAACCCAGAATAGTAAAGGCAAGACTAGACATGCCAGGTGACATAGCTTCACATGCCGCTTTGGGCATGTATGCCATAGGTTCGCCATTCACGGCTCTAATCAATGGACACATATTATATTTTGTTTGTTTGTTTGTTTTAGAAAAAGATAATTGCTGCCTTTCCTAATTCTGCAGTTTCAAACCATCCATTTAGACAAAATTGCATGGTCTTTAAACAGTTGTTTTAAAGAAATGCCTCAACAGAAATAGCTTTATTCGTTATATTTCTTCGATAACTTCTTATGCGCTACCACCAGAGGTGTTAACAAGCTGTAACAAGCAGGATATTAGAATATTAAGTATGAAAAGCCTTTCTTATAGAAAACCAATACAAAACTTTCAGATGAGAATTTTCTTGTACAAGCCTTCTGCCTTGCTCAGAAAATTTAAAGGAGAGTCAGATGATGTCACTTCCAGGATAGTATTTTCCTATCATTGCTTTTACTTTTTTCTTCTCACTAAAAGTCCATTAAAAGGAAAGAGACAAAGAGAGGGATGGACATACAGGCAATAAATGTACAGTACTTCTTACTTGGAATATTAGAAGCTGTCAGCCTGGAACATATGAACCCACTCATGTTTCTTGAGCTATTGTTATTTGCACACTATGATGTACTAGTACCACTGTCTTAACCTTTTTGAGAGTGAAAGTATTAATAAACAATTGCTATTATCAGCTTCCCATTGTTTATGCAAGCAGTAACAAATGTCATTACTTTTGGAATTCAGTTTGAAAATGTAATTATGGATATAGCGCTTAGGAGAAGTTTGTTTCTTCTAAAGCCAAGCAGGGGACAGCAAGTACTATAAAAGAAGCAAGATAAAGAGCACTCACCTTAGAAGAACTACATTGTTTGACATAAAGGCGCCAACTGTCACATCTAGGAAAAAAAGTTTATAGCATTTAGAACAAGCATGATTCCTGGCCCCCACAAATTCAAATAAATAAAAGCAATTCAATGTTTATCAAGATCTTCTCCTGAAATAAAACTTTCCAGGATAATACATTCCTGAGCATTCTTCTTATATCAATATGTAAGACACAGGGGTGGGTTTCAATTTTTTTACTACTGATTCTGTGGGCGTGGCTAGATGGGAGGCATGTGACTGAGTGGGCATGGTCAGCTTGATGCTGTCAAAGAAGCCTGATTTTCTGTGCTGCCCGTGACTCTCAGAGGAAGGAGGTAGGAAAGCAAGCTGTGGGTGACATCTCTGCCTCCTTCCTCCAAGAGCTGACTTTGGGGATGGCCAGTATTCTTGAGGGTGACTGGGTGGACAAGGGCTGAGGTGACACAGCTCAGCTAACAATAACAAAATCCGTTTAGTGGATTACAACCAGTAACTCAGGCTACGAACAGCAAACGGCAACAAGAGAATGAACCTCTGTTGAACAGCACTTTATATAGGAGCGGCTGTCAAATGGCAACCAATCAGCGACCTGTATTCTCCCGCTTAATCTGCCGACAGCTCAGCCAATCAGAAATGTCCTATGCATGGGCACGTCCGTGAGACAGTGGATACAACACTCTTTCCCTCCAGATGGCGCATGCATATTCTTGTAGGTAAGCTGGGCACCTGCGCAGTTGTCCCGATTGTCTCAGCCCTGGCACAGCTTCAACAACAGCAGGAGTTTATTCGGCTGGAGTTTGTTCGGCTGTCGGAGGAACTTCCCGCGGCCGAGTGGGATCGTTGGCAAAGGATGGTGGCTCGAACTGTGGATCTTCTAAAGAAGGTGAGTCCTGCACTCCGGCTGCCGGGGAACTTAGTGGCTCGTTGTGTGGTGGAAGGTTGTCGGGAACGGATGATGGAATTTCCACTGGGTTTTGTGGCATGTCGGCTGGCTGGGGACTGAACGGGTTCAGTCGGCGCCTCCTTAGCTGATTAATGTGGTGGTGCCACACTCGTCTGTCCTCTAAGCTAATCTTGTAAGAACAGGGTCCAGTTATTTCAATTATGTGCTCTGGTAGCCATTTAGGGTCAGCCCTGTAGTTCTGTGCATAATCCAGGTCCCCCGATTTAAATTCCCTGGCACTGTTGTCAAAGTCCAAAGGTTTAGACATGGCATAGTTCGGGTGCAGTCTGTCGAGGTCAGTGCGGAGATTTCAGTCCATCAGTAATTCTGCAGGACTCTGGCTGGTTAATGGGCAGGGGCTTGAGTGCTGGGCTAACAGGTACTTGTCTACTCTCCCCCCCCCCCACTCTCCTGGGCCAAATTTTGTAAGTGTTTCTTTCAGTGACCACACGGCCCGTTCCGCCAAGCCATTACCCGTGGGGTGGAATGGTGCCACCTGAGCATGGCGAATGCCATGCTCGGCCAAATACATCTGAAAATGGGTGGAGGTTAACTGTGGCCCATTATCAGAGACAACTACGCCAGGATACCCATGTGTCACAAAAAGTTTCAGCAGGACCCTGATGACCACCTCTGATGTGGTCAATGCGATAAGAGCGACTCCCACCCATTTTGAATATGCATCAACCACTACAGAAAAGTTTGCCCATAGAACAGGCCAGCAAAATCCAAATGGATTTGTGACCAAGGGGCCTTTGGGCTTTCCCATTTTTTAACTAGGGCAGCCATAGGGGCTGCCCATGAGTTCTGACATTGCTGGCAGGCAGCAATCCAGTTCGCTATATCCTGATTGAGCCTGGCCACCATACGTAGCTCCTACCTAAAGCCTTCATTCTGACCATGCCTGAATGGCCATCATTTAGGGTAGCCAGAATGGGCTCTTGCAACCCTTGGGGAATGACCACCCGATTTCTCCACAGGAGGCATTCCCCATGTGTTGAGAACTCGTGCTGTTGGTTGCGATACGACCGAAATCCCAGCGGAACTGGATATAATGGCCAGCCTCGCATAACCCAATCGAGCACTGGGGACAATGTTTTGTCCCGTGCTGAATGACAGGCTATGTCTATGGCGAAGATGGGAAAAGACAGCTCCTCTATTAACATTACAACAGTTGCTGGGAAGGATCTGTTTCCTGAGTTGGCAGTGGATAGTGACTAAGTGCATCAGCATGCCCTAAGTTCTTCCTTGGCCAGTAGATTAATTGAAATTGTAAGCTGCTAAAAACTCGGTCCAACATAACCTTCTTGGTGACAAAATCTGGGGGGTCTGTTTGTCCCTGGTCAGTATGCCCAATAGGGACTTATGGTCTGTCACCAATTGAAAAAAAATGGCCATAGAGGTACTCATGAAACCTCTTTACTCCAGCAAAAATGGCCAGAGCCTCTTCATCTGTCTGACTGTAGTTCCGTTCTGCAGCAGATAGACTATTTGAGTAATAAGCTAAAGGAGCCTCTGTCCCATTGGGCATTACATGGCTCAACACTGCTCCTATCCCAAAAGGGGAAGTGTCACAGGCCCGTGTGAGTGGTAAGCGATCACTATACTGTACCAAAAGTGCATTAGATGTTAGCAGTGCTTTTATAGATACAAAAGCGTGAGCCTCCTAGGTTCCCCGCTTCCATGTTGCATTATTGTCCAGCAAGTGATGGAGTGGCTCAGCCACAGAGGCCTTATGTGGCAAAAAAGCAGAATAGAAGTTCAACAACCCCAAGAAAGCCTGCAACTCCACTTAGGCATGGGGGCTTTCCTAATGGGCTTCCATTTTAGATGGAGTTGGATGCAGGCCCTTCTCATCTATTAAGTAGCCTAAAAATTCCACCTGGGAAACCCCCCGTTTTACATTTGGCTAGTTTCAGATTTAGCCCCACTTTGCGAAATTGTGTTAAAACTAAACACAATTTGTGGACTTCCGGTGGGGGAGGGGGCTGCCTGAGGGAGCTTGTTCTTAACAGCTCCTGATTCTTGGTTGCATTAAACTGTCTGAACAGCAATTCAGACAGTAAACAAGCTGTTTGACAGCTTGTTTACCTTTTCTTTGGGCTTAGAAGAACAAGGTGAGATAATTGTGCTGGGGCAGCGTATCAACTAACTTTCCCAGACCATAAATTTGGGAGGGGAGGAAGGGCACCCGACAGCAGAATTCTCTCCGTGCCAAGAATCC